AAAATTACCGATTCTGATTGGCCAAATTTGTTGTTTTTACGATTCTGATTGGTCATTCACATGATTTCATATGAATACCACACGATTACTATTAAAAATCTACGGACACCCTACCCTTAAATGATTCGAGAATGACGTAAATCACATGATCTGAAATTTTGGGTGGCCGATTGTTGAACACCAATCAAAATCGAGGATCAACCGCGCATTTTTTGTGCCACCACTTGCAGATCTTTTAATTCAATTTTCTGACATGAAATTTGACCGTAATCTATTATGCATTGGAAACTCTTCGAAAAGGCATTACTTTTATCAACAGGACCATTGGATAGATCTCAACGAGATGTGGTCTTTTGGAGGCTTCGAACACAAACCATAACATACGAAATTCTTATACGTAATTGTTTATTCTTGAGAATCGCAATTTTGCCATTTTGACACTAAGCTATACTATGGAGAATCTCATTTTCCAAACATTTAAGGTTGGCACAATTTATAGTTATACCGTAAAAAGTGGACGCAGTACCCTGGTACTTTCATTACTCACTTTTGTACCCGGGGTACCTCTATATGAGACAATATGGTTTACTATATCAAGTTGGTATGATACATATATAGTACACTTTTTTTCGGTTCTTGCCGCAAACTATTATAATCATAACGATAATTATTACGTTCAACCACATGGCACATCTATTAAAATGAACCCCAAATCTAATAAAACTAATGTACCGGGTGTTCAATACATAGTCCCTTTATTTTTTAAATGACCTTATATATAAAAAAAATCATGATAATTATTTATGCCAATATTCAAATCATCATAGTGATTGTGTATAAGAACTTTACAAACACTCGGTAGTTATCGCTTAAAACCCATCTCTCTTTCTATAAAATTTAATTTAACATCTGCATCATACACTATGTTATAAATTTTAGGGTAGTGTAAAAATTCGCCGTAATAATTTTTGTAAAAGGTAATTATATTTATAGTTAGGACTAGCTTGATTTAAAGTCGGTAAATCCGTCAGTTTACAATACCGATACGTATATTTTTTAGAAAGCTTTATTTTGTAATACAGTGTTATAAATCCTATTTATGCACAGATTATCGTCATTGATTATCGAAATCTGCTCTAGAAAGTAAAATATGTTATGTTATCGCAGGTTATGCCCCTAACTTTATCATTTATGACTTTGTACGTACGTACGTAATAGATTCTCATAAAGTTCCCGATCGAAAAAGTATATACTCTTTTTGGTAGGATATAAATCGTAATCGAAATCAGAATTATCATAAGTGTTAAAAAGAAATTTGTTGATCCTTTCTAAATCTATATTAGATAAGGATCCGTTAAACTATAAAAATAGGAACCTTGAAAGTAATGCCACATGGTATTACGTATTTTTAAGATCCTTATAACAATACTGATTTAACGTAAATTTATGAATACCATCTAACTATAACGGTAATTTCTGAATCATGTGACAAGGGTTCGCTTCGTTCAGCTTTGTCATCGAAAAAAAAATCACGCCAATTTAGAGAATAATAATGCTAAATAGTAGTTATTGACCAATTAACGTGGGTATTAAAAAAAAAACTAACTAGTTTTATTATAAAAATTAATGCATGCTGCATTACTTTTGATTGCCACTATACTGTATACATTGTAATTAAATAAAATATATACGTATTTAGTCTTTCAATTATTATGTTAAATCTCGCATACCTTTTTTTGCATATGACTCTATATACGTAAAAAAATTGTAATTCATGCAGTTCATGATACGTAGTGAACCTCAATGCCGATTTCTCTTAATATACTTAGCTATAGTAGTATATATAGTGTTTTTTAAAGGTCTTTTTTAGAATCCTGTCAGAAACAGTAACAAAGATCCATCAAAAATGACATTTTTGCCTAATATATACAGTCAACGAAGATTTTAATCTTGCCTTTTCCTTCCTATTCGTACCTATTATTGATATCAGATATGGTACGTACGCACGTACGTATAAACCTTTCCTTAAGTGGTGTTGGCCACTGTGTGTGGGAATTATAATTAAATCGTAAGGTACATATTGAATTATAAGACCCAATAATGTGATACACCGCACCAAAAATTTCTTAGATAGAAACGTTACCAACGCCAAATACCTTAAAGAACCCTAATTGGTATTTCATTTAATATAAACAGCATTATTTTTGTTTATATTCGTACTCTTTCAAATAATGATAAAATATTCTCTTTCCTCTGATGTTTTAAAAATTCGTTTGAAATATATTTTCTAACCTTAGAAATAAGAATAATGATGTTTAATTATTTACATAATTCATTACCATACCAATCTTATCAACGTCTTGAAGAAGGTCGTCCCGAATCTTCACGTGCTGCATCATATACAAATGAAAAGGTCGAAGACTTAACAACAAATGTCGTTTATGAAGAAATAGACCGACTAGACTCATGGTATTATTTGTTATTGGGGAAGAGCATCATTGCGATTGCTTGGTTTTTGATAATGTTTGTGATTATTTGGACCACTGGATTCAAGGAAAGTGAAGGTAGGTGTTATTATTTAAGTGTGAATATAATTGTTTAATTTTTGAAAAGATAAAATAAAATTCTATTTTATATATTGAAGAACCTATTTCCCTTATAAAATGATCATCGGACTGGAGTTTACAGTCCAAAAAAAATGTAGAAAAATAAATACTGTAAAAGAACCGCTGGAAACAGCTATATATATATTATTTGGATTTCTATGCAGATTCTCGATATGATGAATTCGCGTATCTTAATAAATACTTTTATAGATTTGTTATTAAGGGTTCATTGTATCTAAAACTAGACAATTGAAATGCGTGATAAGTCTTGTATATTTCTAAGTTTCATGTATTTGAATTGATGTATTTTTTATAACACTTATAACAACTTTAAAAGAAAAGTATTTACTGTACATATCATTTACAAATATTTGTAAAAAGACGCGCACAAAAAACAAAACAGATTCATTCTTAAAATATTCAAGTTTTTAAGACTTTTCACACTGAACTTTAAAAATTTGATCACGCAAATCTTTTGCATTTTTAAGATTAATTTTGAGATCTTCTATCAAACCCGTCCCTAAATCATAAACCCAACCATGTACTTCGAGTTTACCCCCACGATCCCATACATTTTGAACTATGTTTGTTGCAGAGATGTTGTAAACTTGTTGCACGACATTAAATTTAACCAATTTATTTACACGGTCTTTCCTCTCAGGTAACGCATCAATGTTAGATTTATTGGCATAGTAAATATCCTTGATATTACGTAACCAGTGGTCAACAAGGCCATGTTGGTCGTTGCCTAAAGATGGCGAAAAGAAAAATAAGAAAATGCAAATCAATTTAATCAAAAAGAAAATGTCTCTTAAATATTTACTCAATGATGCAGAAACACCTCCACATCCAGTATGACCTATAATCAGAGATTTTAATAAAGAAAAGTAAGTTAGAAAAAAAAAAGAATTTTATCATTTGGCGCGGGTGCGTTGTGACGCACCCAATAAGATCCGGTGTAATGTGAAATCAACTCATTAATTTAGGGTAAGGGTTAGCACTAATGTAGGGTTAGGTTAGATTGTAGGTAAATATTAGTTATACCCAAAATTTTGCAAGGAATTTTTTTTGTTAGAACGCAAAGGTAGTTTCACAGGCGATTTTTTCAAAACATCGCTATTTTTTTCGATTTCACGTTACACCTGATCTTACGATCTGATTGGTCGATCAGGTGGGTGCACATGCGCTATATTATAAAAAAAATAAAAAGTTAAAAAAAATAAAAATTAAATTTTTTTTGTTACATACCACAAACGATTACATGCTCAACTCCAAGATGTTCCACTGCATATTGTAACACAGATAAAGAATTTAAGTCTGTATGGTTGAATTGGTTAGCGATATTTCTGTGAACAAAAATTTCACCAGGTCCCAATTGAACTACAGTTTCCGCAGGAACTCGAGAATCGGAACATCCTATAATTCATCCACTATGAATAAACTTATTAAAAGGATATAATCTACTAAAATAGATTAATAAATTTTAATTTACCAAACCAAACAATTTTTGGCTTTTGCCCTTCTGCGTGACTGGTAAAGAATCCTGGGATTTGTGCAGTAATAGCATTAGCCCATTCTTTATTTTTTTTTAACAATCCTTCAAGATTTTCACCAGCCTCAGCGAATGAAATAGGGAGGGGTGTAATAAGGTCAGTGGAAGCGCGTGGGATACGGTTGTCTAAAAAAGCTAGATGCAAATGGATGTATAATATTTCGGATTACTATTATTGATGATCTCTACTATCTCCACTAACAAACTTGATATTTTTTTTGTGGTAATTTGAAAATACCTATTTCGGATTGTGCACGCTTCAATTGTTGAGCTTTATCAACAATTCTTTTTTCACCTCTTTCTTCTTTATTGGTACCATTTGTGTCTTCAACATCTTTGATGTCAATATTTTCATATTCATCCATGACGTTCTTTGAAAGTTGTAAAAGATAAATTCAGGATAGTTTTAAATAATAACCGCCAATAAGATTTTTACCTTAGAAAAAAAAAATCACCTTAGTTTTTTACAATAAGTCTTTGATAATTTGGATCTACTAAGCGAGTGGACCAGAATATTGAATTTTATTTTATCGTTATCCATCATTATTTATATCTCAAGTGTAAGACAAAAAATCATCCTCGGAAATTGCCTAGAAAAGGACATATTAATTTTCAGATTACTTGCCAAGATGTTGTACGTATCATTATAATTTAGGTTCTTTGTAATTACTTTTCATAGGATGTAATTTTGCTAATCCCATAGTATATTAGCGTTTGAATGAAACATTGATCATAAATTAGAATTAAATATTAGTCAAATGATAGATAATGTTAGTTGCCAAATAGAGGTTATAACATGTACATGTGTTACACCAATAACTTTGTTGCTGCAGTTAATAAATGTCGCAAAACGCTATCGCTTAGTAGATCCAAATTATCAAAGACTTATTGTAAAAAACTAAGGTG